GCGAAACCTGTTAAAGATGTTTCCATCATGCATTATTAGCACCTTTGAGAAAAAGCATGCGTTGCTGGATTAATATAAAATTCTTTGTTCATGGTATCTGTGATTTGGCGTGATCGTCTGTTGAGGGATGAGGGTACTTGTTTAAGATTTAAATATTAGCAATAGAATATCAACATTTAGTAACATTTAGTATCTGACTGTATCTCAAATAGGATTGCCTAAAAATAAGAGGATATTTATAAACAATCAATAAAATATTTATAATGCAATTATATAATAGAATATCATGCATATAATATAATATTTTAAAATTTATATTTAAATAATGTTTATTTAGAAATTTTATTATTATGAAGTGTTTCTACCAAAAAATACGAGTTACTTTTATTTAGAAAAGTATATACAAAACATTTTTGTTTTAAAAAATTACAATATTCTCCTAATGAACAAGACCACGTGTACTAGTGTATTACAAGAGGGAATCTAACGTTTACTCCGTGACTTAAATTATTGAACAAGACTTTAATTATGTCTCTCTGATTAATTAAGTCACTCACATTTCTTTATCTAATTACTCTCATTTCTTCTTCCATTGCTCAAATTTCTGCTTCTGCGCTTCAAAGTTTCTTTGCTTTTCGTTTCTCTCTCCCAATATTCCTTTGCTCTTGCTTCTATTCCTAAACAGCAGCAGATTTCTCTGTGAAACATGTTCAAAGTTGAAAGAATCGGATCTATCAGTTTGAAGAGCTTGCTTCTATTACTAAATTGACAGATCCGCTTGTGTTTGATGTTAGACAAACAATTACTAAATTGCCCTAATAGATTCTAACATTTATTGGAAGAAATTCAAAGACAACTATCACTTTTCCTGCCAATTTACAGCTAATCTTTTCACAATGAATCACACCAACTTCATCATTACTGGTACGTCCCACGAGATTGCTGGAATAATGTGATATTTACAAGTTTATCACAAATTGACAAGGTGGCAACAGTTATTGACAACTTTTTACAACTTATTGACAAGTAAAAATTTATCACATGAAATAATTTTATTTTAAGTTAGAAATAACAAATATGCTATTGACAACTTGACAGCGGGTGATGGCAAAGGAGAATGACAACTTACAAATAGGGTATTGACAAGTAAAAATTTAATTTAAAAGCAAACAAGTTATATGCTATTTAAATTAGCAACAAGGCAACTATAAATGATAACATGACAAAGGGAAATGATAGCTTACACATATTGATGGGTAAAAATTTATGAATTATTTGCCGTTTAAACTGATAAGCAAATGAGTAACTACAACACAACAAAGGGAACTGACAACATACAAATACGGTATTAACAAGTAAAATTTATGAAGTTATATGCTGTTTAAATTGACAAGGCAATGGATAATGAAAACATGGCAAAGAGAAATGACAACTTACGCAGAGTATTAACAAGTAAATATTAACCAGTTGTTATTACTTAATAAATTTTGACCTATCAATACTCTATGCATAAGTTATCACTTTTCTTTATCATGTTGCCATTATCAGTTGCCATTTAAATTAAATTCTTGAACTTTATAAATTTTTAAATTGTTTACTTGTAAATACCAATATGTAAGTTATCATTTTCTTTTGTCATGTTGTCATTACCCATTGTCTTGTCAAATTAAATAACATGTAACTTCATAAATTTTTACTTGTCAATATTCTATGCATAAGTTGTCATTCTGTTTTGTTGTGTTATAATTACCCATTGTCAAGTTGTTGATAGCATATTCATTTATTTCCAGCTTAAAATAAAATTCTTTCATCTGAAAAATTTTTACTTGTCAATAACTATTGGCCCCTTGTTAATTTGTGATAAACCTGTTAATATCACATTCCAGCAATCTCGTGGAAGGAACTGGTGATGATGAAGTCGATAAGTTATAAATTGGCAGGAGAAGTGATATTTGTCTTCGAATTTCTTCCAGTAAATGTCATAATATGGGTACTTGGTCTTCTCAAGTGCGTGAGCAATTATACACAAGAGAGTAAAAAAGAAAATATAGAAGAAAGGTTTAATTAAGGTTGGAAGTAGATGCAGAATATCAAGTAAACGAACCTGGGATCAGCAACACCCAATTGATGTGCCAACAAAGAAGCAACGGTGTTTCCAATGACACAGATATTTGCCCTGCAACTCTTTGGTAAGCTCATGGGCAACATTCTTACAGCCAAGGATTTCAGGACTTCACAATTATTTATACATTTTGTGGGGCTTTTTAGTATTTAGAATTCTTATGAGGGACTCAATAATAATTCTCCTTCTTCCTAGAATTATCGAAGGATCCTTTCTAGGACCCAAAGCAAAATTATTGAAGGGCCATTTCCTGCTCTTTTCTGCTAGAACGCGGATGACTTGACTAGTTGAGTTATCTATAAGACTAAAACATGCATTTCTTTCCTATCCTCTTTATATATATATATATATATATAAAAGAAGGGATAAGAAATTATTTGTCACAAATCACAATTGAGTAAATGATAGTTGAAGTGTTAAACTCAACTCTCCACCAGCCACTAATTGAACATACACAAGTGGATGGGCACATATTAAGACAAATAAAAAATATGAGATTTTTCAAGTATCTATTTTAGCGCCCAACAGTGTCTCAAACAGGATAATACATATATGCAATCAAACTCTTTGGTATGCTCATGAGATTTTCAAACAGGAGTATATTTTTTTAACTTTTCTTTTCTAATGATCAGTCCATAAGGACCAACAGAACCCGTGAGTCCCATCCATTCATGTTTGTTTGTTTATGCATTAATTTATAAAAATGTATGTCGAATTGGAAATCAGTATGAAATTTTGATTAAAAAAAATAGAGAGAAAACAAAATCATCAGTTTCTATAATTTTATTAATTTTACTTGTAATTCTTGTATTTTTTAGTATTTTCAATCTCTATAATTTTAACAAAATTAATTGAGTGATGTTTGTTCTTCAAGTTGCTATATATAATTTCAGTATTTTTAGTTGACCAAAAGCAGTGATAAAAAAACTACATGACTAAAAACAAAAGCTAATAAAATTATAAAGATCAATAATTATATTTTTTTTAAAAATAAAATTTAAATGGACTAAAAAGAAAATCCCAAAATCAGTACAAAGTTAAGCTATCTAAGTTTATTTGTATATTATTTAAAAATTTGATAGTTTATTTTTATTCATATTATATATATAATTTTGTTTTTATTTTATCCAAAATTTTTATTTTATTATTACATCACCAATTTAATCTATAGTATAATCGGTTAGACTATAAAAATGATGACCAACTAGTTTTTTCGGTTTGATATCTACAATTTTTAAAACATTGAAAAATGTGAAAATGAGATAAAGTTAAGGGTGAAAATGTATCAAACACAACATATAATATATATATATATATATAATATTTTTTTATTATTACGTTACTAATTCGACTGATAATCTAACCAGTTATAATATATAAATTGTGACCAGTTATACCATATATATAGCTTTTTCAGTTTGATATCTTGTCCCGTTTTCGAAACATTGAAAAATGTGAAAATGAGATAAGCTAAGGGTGAAAATGTACAAGACACAATACATTAAAGTAAGGTCCCATTTGGTTGGGGGGAGGGGAGGGGAGGGGTTCCTCTTCCCTCCCCTCATTTGGTTAGGAGAAGGGGAGCCCCCTCCCCTCCCCTCTCCTCATTTGGTTAGGAGGAGGGGATGTGAAATTTTTAAAATTTTCTCTCCCCTCCCCTCCAAATTGGGGGGGAGCTCCTCTCCCCTCCCTTCCCCCTCCTCCCCCTTCCTTTCCCTTCCCTCCTCTCCCCTCACCTACCCTCCCCTCCCCCCCAACCAAACGGGACCTTACTTTAATGTATTGTGTCTTGTACATTTTCACCCTTAGCTTCTCTCATTTTCACATTTTTCAATGTTTCGAAAACGGGACAAGATATCAAACTAAAAAAGCTATATATATAGTATAACTGGTCACAATTTATATATTATAACTGGTTAGATTATCAGTCAAATTAGTAACGTAATAATAAAAAATATTATATATATATATATATATATTATATGTTGTGTTTAATACATTTTCACCCTTAACTTTATCTCATTTTCACATTTTTCAATGTTTTAAAAATTGTAGATATCAAACCGAAAAAACTAATAAAACCTAAAACATAAAGACTAACCAATCGTCATTCGCTTCCTTCTAAAATTCAAAGTGAGGAATGATCAAAGATAATATAAGGTCTCTCAAAACCATGAACTTTCCTAGCAAGAAAATGCGTAATACTAATAACTAAAAAACAGTACAAAGAATATCATTTTTGTTTTTAAAAAGTATAATTTGTAAATCCTTTTTTAAAAATTGTTTTTTAAAACAAAATAAAAAGAAAAGATGTTTAATTATACAGATTTAAAAACAATTTTAAAAATGCTAGTAGCGGTCATATGTGGTTAAAAGTGATATGGTGTAACACTCTACTTTTTCAACAATAATTATTTAAATTTGTCATAGTACTTGAGAATCTTTTATGGTAATTAAAATAAAACTAATCTTTTAAAATGTCTACAGTAAAAAGAACAAAGCCTATCTTTTGCAAGACACTATATATCATGATAAAAATAAATAAATAAACAAACAAACTTAAATAAATTTTATCACATTAGAAGGATTTTTCTTGATTATATAAAACAAGTTCCAAATCTTTATCACCATAAAAACAAGTTCGAAATAAAGTATTGAAGAACCTCTTCCTGCTCTATTCTGCTGGAACGCATTATATGGATGACGTGACAAGTTATTGCGACATTGTGCATAACTTTCCTATTGAACAACACTGGATGAGCTTGTGAGTAATTATTATTTTTTTAAAAAAAAAAGAAGGGATAAGACTAGCTACAGTGTGGCTGGAATTATTGAGAAAGAAACAAAGTGGGACCTTTGGGACATATGTTACTGGAACACATAATTGAAGCACTTTGAATGAAAGGCCCTTGTCTTCCTCTTCCATTAATCGCTCCTATCACTTCTCTTTCCTCCCTTTCCTCTCATCTCTTTCTCTTCACAAACAACATCGTTCAAGTCGTTCAAGATCTTCATGGTACAAGTACACAGATTATATATGCTAATCTTGTAATTAAGTTTATAACTAAATTCAAGCTCTAAATATATCTTTTTATTATTGCAGGACTTGTTCTCGGTTTTCTATTCCTGTTTCCATTCATAGCTTCGTGCATCTTTCAACAAAAAAATAAAAAATGGTAAAAATACATTTTAATTATGTCTTTTATGCTGAATATGCTTTCTAATTATGTTTGTTTATATATAGTGCTATGGTTCCGTTGTTTTTCCGTTTCTTAATATTTTGTTTGCACTGCACTTCTAATTTTACATACTTCTGCCAAATATATATATATATTTGACAAATTATTCAATATCCTTTAATGATAATGCCTTAGATTTTATTCTAAAAATGAACCCCCCCCTGCCGAGAGGCCTCTCAATTAAATCAAGGGGACTTATTCATGCTTGTCGTTGCTATCTAATCAATTCTACATGTGTTTCTTCCAAATTTTTCTTTTGTTTTTATTTTGACTGGTCGCTTTTTGATTGAGATTATGTTGTCTTCTTTTTTACATTTTTTGTTTACTCTTTCACTTTTTCGCTGCTTGCTTCTATCAATGGGTCACTTTAATCTATTCCCATGGATTATGTTGTTATGTCATTTTAATGGTTCTTGAAGTCACTCATGCAAGATCACTTATAATTATGCTTTTTTATATATTTTACTGTAATTTCTCTCTACAAGCTAAAGTTTTTCATAGATGCACTTTTTTTAAAAAAAGATTTTATAATCCTAGTAGTTTCATTAATTAATCTAAATTTCATATTTATTTGTATCTGTACTAATTTCTATTTTAATATTAAAGTTTCAATGCGATTCCGCATGTTTTGTTGTGTTCATCATCTGAAGTTTTGGTAAGGATCAATGCGTACTGTTTTTTTCTTTTTTTCAATTCCCTTGGCATTTACAATTGTGCCTTTCAACATTTTTATGCTGTCTTATATATGTTGTAGTTGAAAAATAGGAATTATAAATAATTGAAATGGAAAATATCATAAAGATAGGAGAAGTGGAATGCATGACCAAGACGATCTCAAGAAATTATGAAGCTGTAGCCTGACATTAAAGAAAACAAAGCACACAAGGTATAAGGGTGGAAGAATGAAGTACAGGGATTATATGTGTGTGCGCGTGCGTGTGTTTCATTAAATAGTCATACGTTCTCATGAGGTCATACATTCATACTCATAAGGATGTCTCCACTAATTAGCTACAGTATGAGACAAGAACACGTGAAATCGTGGGGAGATCGTCTCTCTTTTTCTTTACTTTTCTTTTCTTTTTTTCTTTTTCACTTCCCAGTCATGATTATTAATAATTTAATATCACTATATTAAATAAATTTATTTTAATCATAAATTTGATAAATAATCATGATTGATAAATAAAAAATGTGAAAACGAGATAAGCTTAGAGTGAAAATGTACAAGACACAACACAAAGTAAGAGGCTTTTTTTTTTAATTGAAAAATGAAATGCATTAATAAACTGAATAAAAACCTAATACAACTGCTTAAAACATAGAGACCGACCAATCATCATTTGCCTCCTTCTGAAATCAAAGGTGGGGAAAAATAAAAAAATATATATATAAGGTCTCTCAAAACCATGAGCTTTCCTGCAAGAGAATGAGCGGTACCAATAACATGCCTAAAAACAAAATTAAGGTCCTGTTTAGTTGGGGAGAGGGAAGAGGAGCCCTTCCCTCCTCTCATTTGGTTAGAAGGAGGGTTTTGGTTAGGAAAATTTTTCCCTCCCCTCCAAACCCACTCCCTACTAATTAAATTACAAACAGTGCGAAGGTGCCTATCTTTCCTATTGAACAACAGTGGATGGGCTTGTGAGTAATTATCATTTAAAAAAAAAAGAAGGGAAAAGACTAGCTACAGTGCCGCTTGAATTATTGAGAAAGAAACAAAGTGGGACCTTTGGGAGATCACTGGAACGCATCATTGAAGCGGTTTGAATGAACGGCTCTTGTCTTCTTTCTTCCATTAATCGCTCCTATCACACTTTTTTTTTTTTTTGATAAGACTCCTATCACACTTTTCTCTCTTCCCTTTCCTCTCATTTCTATCTCTTCACAAACAACATCGTTTAAGTCGCTCAAGATCTTCATGGTACAAGTACACAGATTATATATATGCTCATCTTGTAATTAAGTTTATAACTAAATTCAAGCTCTAAATATATCTTTTTATTTTTGCAGGACTTGTTTTCGGTTTGCTACTCCTGTTTTCATTCATAGCTTCGTCCATCTTTCAACAAAAAATTAAAAAAAAAGTGGTAAGAATACATTTTAATTATGTCTTTTATGCCGGATATGCCTCCTAATTATATTTATTTATATATAGTGCCATAGTTACGTTATTTGTCGGTTTCTTAATATTTTGTTTGCACTGCACTTTTAATTTTCCATACTTCTGCTAAATATATTCTTTTTGACAAATTATTCAATATCCTTCAATAATAATATCTTAGATTTTATTCTCAAAATGAAACCCCCAGGGCCTCTTGATTAAATCAAGGGGACTTGTTCATGCTTTATTGTTACTCTCTAATCAATTCTACATGAGTTTCTTCCGAATTTTTCTTTTATTTTTATTTTCACTGGTTGGCTTCTGATCAAGATTATGTTGTTATATATATGTCTTCTTTTTTGCATTTTTCGTTTATTCTTTCACTTTTGTGCTGCTTACTTCTACCATATGTAATGGGTCACTTTAATCTATTCTCATAGTTAATACGTCATGCTTCCCCCCCCCCTAAACCAATAAGTTTCTACATTTTTCCCCAATTAAAATATAGCTTTTGTATCCCTTAAAAAATCATTACTCATAGAGAAGAAAGGAAAAGAACATTTGAAATAGAAAGTAACAAAAAAATTTAAATATAGTGATGCTAGTGTACAGTAGTTAAATATAATGTATTTTAAAAAAAAAGAAAAAAAGAAATAACTATAAAATATTTCTAATTTTGTTTAAAAAAAAAGGAAAAGGTTTTGAAAATGTTTAAATCCAAGATCAATGCCATTCTTGTCCAACCGCTCAAAAATCTTATGCAATTCATTATAAGTGAGAGGGAAGGCATGTATAATAGATGAAGTGCATGGAGATTAATTCGAATCTTGAATTTACTATACGAAGGCTGGATTAATTTAATTAGGTGGAGGTTTCTTCATTTTCATGCTTCTGATCTTCAATTTAAACCTTGAACCCTAAACTTTTAAAATGTATGCTCCAAACCCTAAATAATTAATGTTAATGCAATTTCACCTTCACTGTTAAATTTGAACAAATGTCTATTAATTTTTTAAAAATTAATGTTTAATGCGCAATTTCACCATATTCCATTGTCTCTCTCTCTCCTATCCTCATTTGAGAAAAATCATACATTAGACCGTAATTTTTAAAAAACTAATGGATATTTGTTCAAATTTAACGGTGGAGTAAAATTGCTCCAACTTTAATTATTTAAGGTTCAGAATATATCCTTTATAAAAGTTCAGAATTCAAATTGTCCTTGAATCTATAATTCAGAGTTCAAATTATATATAATAAGAATATATTCTGATTGATTCTTTTTGAACACTAACAGGAGCAGCTATGTGTGTGCGTGCCCGCGCCTGAATTTTACGAGTTTTGAGCTAAATCAAACATGGTCTATATTTTGAATTTGATTAAAATTGGCAGGATTTGTTTTCGGTGCTTAACTTGCTTTTGATGGAATCTTCATTTTATTTTCCTCCTCTTCAATTGCTTTGATATTCATAAAATGAGGCTTGCATCATCTAACATTTATATCTGGAAAACAAGAGGTCTGTACATATTATCACATGTTTTTTTGGTTAAAAAAATTGAAATTGTTTAAAAGAATGAAAAATTGTTTGAAATTTTTTTATATTAAGTTTCCTTTCCATGCTAAAGTTTTTGTACAGTTTTGTTCAACATGATTTTATTATAATGCCGATCATTTAATCAACCAACCAAAATCTCATATATATATATATATATCATGCATTTTTTAACTAGTTTCTTCTTTAACATTAATAAAGTTTATAACAGGGTTTTGTGTTCTTAGTTTATTTTGGCGGTGTTTTCTTTTACTACTCTATTCACTCGTCATCACAGTTCAAATCTATAAAAATTTGGTACGAAAACATTCTTTTTAAATTTTCTAATATATTTACAATTATAAGGTTCTAACTTTTTGATGTTGACTTGTATTATATATAATTTAAATATATAAAAAACTAAATAATTGAAAATGTTGTAGAAGCTAGATATGACAAATAGTGAAATGCATATTCCATGTGATACATAAAGGGGAAAAATTTTATGTGAAAAACTTGGTTAATTTAATTTATCATTCTAATGGTTCTTGAAGTCACTCATGCAAGGCCACTTTAATTATGCTTTTTTATATATATCCTACTGTAATTTCTCTCTACAAGCTAAAGTTTTTCATAGATGCACTTTTCTAAAAAAGATTTTATAATGCTAATAATTTCATTAATTAATTTGAATTTCATATTTATTTGTATCTGTACTAATTTTAATATCAAAGTTTCAATGACATACTGCACGTTTTGTTGTGTTCATCTAAATCTAAAGTGTTAGTAAGATCAATGCATTCAGTTTTTTCATTCCCTTGGCATTTAGAACCGTGCCTTTCAACATTTTTATGCTGTCATAATATATATATATATATATATATTGGATCTTTTTGAAATTTGGTACACTTATAGTACCCTTTGAATGTGACGTGTGAGCTTTAAAATCACTTCAATCGGAGGTCGAATGACGGAACACCGCCTCCTGGAAGTTGGCCCAGGAGGGCTGTCATGACAGCAATAAATTACTGTCATGACAGCATCTTTTTATTCCATTTTCGTCTAACTTGCTTCCGTGCGCTATAGGTAGAACCTATAATTATTTTTAAGGTTTTAAATGATTTATTTCTTAAGTTGGTTAGAGGATCAACTCCTTAACCACACTTAGTTTGTTTGAATTATGTGATTTTTGGATAACACTCAAGGCAAGTGTTACATTTGATATATATATATATATATATATAATCAAGATGATCTCAAGAAATTATTGAGTGAAGCTGTAGCCTGACACTAAAGAAAACAAAGCACATAAGGTAAAGGGTGAGAGAAGACTAGAACAGTGACGGTACTTAATTAGTAAATGCATTGAGTGATTATATCATATGAGTAGTTGAAATTTAAATCAACGGTTTAGATAAATCTATTTATTCATTATTCTCAGTAGAGTATACATTCATAATCATTGATATAAATTTTAATAATCCAAATGATACAGGCACACAGTGTGTGTTCTAAGTACAGTTTCCAAAACCAAATTCAGAATTTGGAGGGAGATATGTGTTTTAACGATTTTAACGATTCAAGTGTGTGATTTACGGATGTGGAGATTTGTGTTTCATTAAATAGTCAAACGTTCCCATGAGGTCATTCGTTCACATACTCACAAGGTATGTCTCCACCAATTAGCTACAGTATGAGACAAAAACACGTGAAATTATGGGGAGATCGTCTCTCAATTTCTTTACTTTTTTTTTTTTAACTTTCACTTCCCAGTCATGATTATTAATAATTTAATATCTTGATATTAAATTGGTAAATAAAAAATAAAAAATAAAAAATTAAGAGACCCCTATCCCGTATTAATTTGCTACAAATTACCTTGTCCAGTTTTCCTATCTATATTTTTTTTTTTTACCAGAAAAGTTTTCCTATCTATATCGAGTCAACAAAGTAGACTGTTATCTCCATCTCATTGGACATGTATTTATTTTTTAAGTTCTTGATCATTATAATTAGGATTTGGATTATTTTTGTGTAAAACTTTTCAAGCCAAAATAGTGAGAGTAAAATCAAGATTCTATTCCTGTTTCACTCCGTCCAACCGAAAGCATGAAAAATAACTTTTTCGTGTATATAACACACACACACACACACACACACACACACACACACACACGTATTTACTTATTCTCTCTCCAACACTCACACACGCAGTTTTTTATTGTTCGTTTATACTTAAATTACAAGGTAGGTCTCCGCCTTTTTAAAATTATCAAGCCAGTGAATAGTGAATTCGCTTGTCATTCTTCAAGTTCCCCCATATTTTTGACCCAAAAGAAATATGGCTGCCTGGCTAACAAGTTTACATCCGATAACCTTCATAAAATGAAAACCCCATTTTGACATTCGAATCCATGTTTTAATACTCTGTTTAAAATTTCACAAGCTGGATTTTTTTTTTATATAAAGTTTCTCCTCCATGCTAAAGTTTTGTACGCTTTTGTTCAACATGATTTTATAGTTATGATAATTTAATTAATCAACTTAAATATCATATATATCATGTATTTCTTTTAACTAGTTTTTGCTTTGACATTAAATTTTATATGTAATTATGCAGGTTGTGCTTCTTAGTTTATTTGGCGGTATTTCCTTTTAATATTATCTCTTCAGTCTTCATCACAGTCAAAATTTATAAAAAATTGGTAAGATACATTCTGTTTTTTCTAATATATTTACAATTATAACGTTGCAACTTTTTGTTGTTGATTGTTATTATAATTCAAATACACACAAATAAATACTAACTAATTGCAAATGTCCAACAATATTTGACAAGTGAAATGCATAGTCCATGTGATTCATAAAGGGGAAAAATATTCTGTAGAAAATTTGGTTAATTTAATTTAATTTGTTCACTTTGATTATGCTTTATATATATTTGTTTTAATTTCTCTCTGCAAACTGAAGTTTTTCTTAGATATGTACTTTTGTTTTTCATTTTTGCAGGACTTGTTTCTGGTTTAATTTTCTATAATCGTGTGTTCTACATTAATTCCTCATAATTATTCCTTCTGTTCTTGTTTTCATTCATAGCTTCGTGCATGCGTCTGTCAACAATTTGTTTTTTTTTTAAAAAAAGGCAAGTAGACATTTTATTCAATGTTTTCATTTTTTTGTTTGCCCTGCACTTTTAATTTTCCATAACTTCTGCTAAATATTTTTTTATCCTTTAATGAGAATGTACGTTTTAAAAATGAAGGCCGGAGGTCTGTCAATTAAATCGATTAGACTTGCTCTCTAATCACTTCTACATGAATTTCTTCTCAATCTTTCGTTTATTTTTATTTTCATTTATCGCTTTTGATTGAGATTATGCTATTATATTCTAGAGACAATAGATTTATTATTCCTTTCTGAGTCGATAATCCTTTTTTTTTAATCTTTGTCACTCATTTTGTTTCTAGTTCTAATCTGATTTAAAAAAAAGTGAAAAAAACCATAAGAGGAAACTTTTGCGTTTCTTTTTCTGTAATTTGGACATTGTGTTTTATTTATCATGTTTCTCTTTGTTTTTGTGTTTATGCAGTCATTTTCCTCAATTAATTAGTTATTTATAATATCCTCTTCCATGACCTTATTAATAAAAAATAATTATAAAAATTGTCTATAATGTTTAGATATGATTCCTTTTGAAATTTGAGAATGAGATAAAGCGTGAAAATGTACTGGAATCAACAAAAATTATAGCTTGTTTGGTTTTTATTTCCACTTTTTATTTTTAAAAATTTATTTTTGTGATATAGTATTCAAAGCATTTTGTTAAAAGAAAAAAAATAAAAATCAATAATTGGTATCTTAAAGTACAAATATGCTGTTGAAGTTTTTCTGAAAGCACATTTAGCATATTAAAATATTTAAAGGTGGAATATTACTTCAACATTTTTTAGGATAGTACCATTTTCCCTCCGATTTGACGGTTTGACCACGTTAACTATTTCTTTCGAATTTTTGACCATTAAATGCCTTGTTGGCAAGCCACATAGGAGTCCACATCTGAAAGTGAAATCTTTTTTTTTTTTTTTTAATCATAGCCATGGAGTCATTTTCTTCTTCCTTCCTTCCTTCATCCTCTTTCAACATCAAGGATCTCAATCAACTTCAAAGCCAAAAATAAAACATCCACGGGCCACCAATATTGATAATCAAGGTCATCAGAAATCAAAACCAAAAAACCAAACTAGAAATCAAAAGAGCCATTTAGGTTTGGAAGAACAACCTAGATTTCCAGAAAAACGCAAAGGAGAAATCATGCACAAAAAAGATCAGCCGACAAAAGAGGGAGGAAGAGAGAGAGTTGCTAATGGGGTCCGAAGGTGAGCTGTTGTGCAAGGCAACATGAAAATCGAAACTCACCCAGCAAATGCATTATTGCAAGACTCCAGAGAAGAAGCGTACCATAACCTATTGTTTGCCAACTGCTTCAATCCTTTCCATACTCTTAAGTTTACAACAAAATGAAGAATTACTACCAAATAAAGAAAGGAAAAATAATCTCAAGGACTATAGGAATAATTAACAGCCCAAAAGTAAAACAAGAGAAAGAGAGGATTGATTATATCTTTTACCAATCTATAACATGAAAAATGTTAAAAGCTCATAATTACTCTTAAGATCCACAAATTATTTACCTTTAAATCATTTTTTTGATTCCAATTAATGAATGTCACATATAATCAGTTTAAATCCCATATCTTTTATGTAATTTTTTTAATTCTTCTAGTATTAAATTATTGCCTGTTTGTGTTTGGCAGATATTGTGTCCTTTTATTCTGCTGTGAAGAATCTCTTTATTTCTTCATCACTTTGTTTTGCTCCAGATTTGAAAAAGGGGAAAAAAGGTTAAAAAGGAGGTCTCTCTGTCGAACAACATTGAAATCCCTTTAAAAAAAAAAAGGTAAAAATATATTGATCATGTTTCTTTTCATTTTACATACACACACAATTGTATTTTGCTATATGTTGTCATTCAAAATTTACAATCATTATCTTGGAAGTTTCTAATTATCTTTTATTTGCATATTTTAGAATAAGATGGTTTTAATGCATGTTTCAAACCTGATGCTGGCAACAACAGCTCTTTGCTTTTGATTCAAAGCAGAATTAAACCCAAATCAATGAAAAATATGATACCCTAAATCTTGTCAAATTAAATTAGCATGACCTTTTTGGCTGCACTTTTTTTTGATCAATTTCTCGGGTCATCTACTAAAATTTTATTTTTTTAATCACTCCATATCTTATATTTATCGTGCATGTATTTTGTATTCATTCTTTTCCGTCAATGCTAAATTTTCCTTTGTATTTTTGCTTAACATCAGGTCCTGTGATTTAGCGTTTCCCGTGTGAAACGTAAATTTCTTCATCAATCAGCATTAAAATCCCTTAACAAAAAGGTAAGAGCACATTTTGATTGTGTTTCTTTTTATCAATGTTGATGACATAATGGGCATTTGATCACTTATCTTTAAGCATATTTTCTTTAGCAAATGCTATAACAACATCTTGGAGCATGTAATAATGATAAAAAATTTTTATCTGATATAAGAAATAAGAGATATAATTAACTCTTTAAAGTTGTAATATTAAAAAAAAATCTTGTACATATTAATATATTATAGTTCATTCAATAATATTATTAGAGGAATAAGACGGCAAGAAAATAGAGGAATAAGCTTGTTTGACTAGCTCAGGTTGAGATGAGATGTGAATTATATCAGAAAAAATCAAACTCTTTTTTTTTTTTTTGAATCCGTTACAGTGGGTAAAAAATAAACTTAGACAGAAACATGACAGACTCCCAAAAGCCCACTGCCAGAAGCGTCCTCTTGAAACAAACTCTTTTGCTGTGAGGGAAAAAAAATAAATAGAAATAATCCTTTTCAATCAAAGGTTATGTTTGGTTCCCATTGTAACCTCTTTTTTTTTTAACATAACTTTATCAAAAACTTGTCATTTAATTAAATATATGATTTTAAAATTTCCAAACCGATATTGGGCCAAAGCATTAAAACCCAATTAATTCTACTGTAAGCCAACAAAGCAAATCCCTTTTAAATAATTTTTATATAAAAGAAGGTTCAGCCCAATTTTATAAAATATATCAAAGGATAAAAATTATTGTTTAATTCTAAACTATCAATATACTTAAGAAAAAAGGGGTATGAACACATTTTAATAGTGCTTCGGGCATTTGATCACGTATTAGAAATAATCCTTTTGGATCTGAGGTTTGTTTGTTACGCATTAATATTTAAGTTAAAAGGAATTGATATTTCCTTTATACAAGAGAAGTAAAAAAATTAGCCTCACAAACTTAGGTTAAGGAAAGGTTTCACGCAACAAGAAAAAGAAAAAGAAAACAAAAAAAGAAAAGGCATTTTCTATCATAGAATTACAAAAAAATAGTTTGCCATAGCTTATAAAACATTTTAACTATTCTGCACCTGCTTGATCTAAAATATTTTAAATATTGATTTTCAGGGCTAAGTAGTTTTGTATGTATGTGTCATTTCCCTTTGAAAATATTAGCCTTCTATATTACATTAATTAACTATTTTGCACCTGTCTGATCTAACATATTATATTTTAAGTATTGAGCCTCACAAACTTAAGTCAAGGAGGTTTCCCCCAGCCGCAACCTCAAATAAACAAAAAGAAAGAAAAGACGTTTTCTAGCATAGAATAAAGCATACTTTGCCACAACTTATAAAACATTTAACTATTTCGCACCTTCTTGATCTAAAATATTTTAATTATTGATTTTCGAAACTAAGTATAATTGCATGTATGAATATGGATGGATGGATCGTTGTGTGTAAGTATCATTTCTCTTTAAAAATATAAGCCTTCTATATTATATTGAAATGGCGCCCATATTTTGAAAACTCAACTTGTATACATGTTTTAATGATGGGACTATCACTATGATTTCTTCCTTTCCTTTCTTGCATTTTTTTTCATACTAAAAGTTCAATAATAAACGAAAATAACGAATTGAACTACTCTTCCTTCTTACCAAACATATTTTTACCCAAAAATAAACGAAAGTAAAGAAGCCTTCAGGAAGGTTAGAGAAATGTCACTTCCCTTGGCAACCTTAATGTTTGTATTTGTAATGAATTTTGTATCAATTATATTCTTTTACCAAAACTAAAATATTTTGTGTGTTTGTATTTGACAGATTTCTTGGTGTTGTCTTCTCGTGTGAAAGATTGTTTATTTGTGTCTTCAATACTTTGTTCTTCTTTAAATTCGGAAAAAGGAAAGAAACTCAAGGAAAGCAAAAAAGAAACAGTGAGATCGTCTAGAAAGAGGTAAAACGTATTTGTTCTATCATATTTCTTTTGCTATATGATGGAATGCATATTAGTGTCTCTTTGAATCTCATACTTATGCATTCTGTACTAATCCTCACACACACACACACACACACACACACACACATAATACTTAGAAAATATTTTTAATATGAAAATATTTAGATATTAAAGCTTATATAATGGATGTACTTTTCCGTATTGGAATGCTTAAATTAGTGTTATTTTTCTCTGTACTATTAAGTTTACAAGAAAATGAAGAATTACAATCAAATAAATAAAGAAAAAATAATATCAAGAACAATAGAAATAAACAGCCGAAAAGTAATACAAGGGAGATCGGTTATATCTTTTACCAAAATCTAACATGAGAAATGTTAAAAACTCATAATTACTTTGAAGATCCACAAATTCTTAACCTTAAATTAATTTTTTGATTCCAAGTAATGAATGCTACATATAATCAGTTTAAATCTCATACCTCTTATGCAATTTTTATCGATTTTTTTTTCTAACTACTAAATTATTGTCTGTTTGTGTTCGGCAGATATTGTGTTCTTTTCTTCTGCTGTGAAGGATATTTTCATTTCTTCATCACTTGTTTTGCTCCAAATTCGAAAAAGATAAGAAAAGTTAAAAAAAAAAGGAAAAAGGAGGTATCTTTGTCCACCAACATTGAAATCTCTTAAAAAAAGGTAACAATATAATTGATCATGTTTCTTTTCATTTTATTCTTATATTTGTCTTTTTCTATATATGGGTTTAATTTGTCTACTAGAAGATTATTTAAAATCGATAGTCATTATCTTTTTGCTGCTCTCTTTTTTATTTGCAAAAAAAAAAAAAACATCTGATTTGGTCATCTACTAAAATTTTATTCTTTTTAATCACTTCGTGTCTTATATTTGTCAGGCATGTATTTTGTATTGATTTTTTTCGTCAATGCTAAACTTCCTTTGTATTTTTGTTTATAACAGGTTTTCTGTGCTTTTATTTTTCCGTGTGATAGTAAATTTCTTCATCAAACAGCATTAAAATCCCTAAAAAAAGGGGTAAGAACACATTTTCATTTTGTTTCTATAATGAAAACCTGGAACGTGTAATAATTGTGATAAAAAAATTATCTGATTTAAGAAATGAGATATAATTAACTCTTTGAAGTTGGAATATTATGAAGATTTTCATATACTTATGGTCTATACAATAACATTATTAGAGGAATAAGATGGCAAGAATTAGAGGAAAAAGTTTGTTTGACTAGCTCAAATAAAAAAAGATGAGATGAGATGTGAACAGTATCAAAAAATTCAAACCCTTTTGTTGGAAGAAAAAAAAATAGAAATAATTCTTTTGGATCAAAGGTTATGTTTGGCACACATTATTTAAGTTACCAAGGAATTGTTATTTCCTTTATACAACATAAGTAAGCCTTATAAACTTAGGTCAAGAAAAGGTTTCGGCCGGCAACATAAAAAAGAAAAACGAAAAACGAAAAACGAAAAACGAAAAAAGAAAAGAAAAGAAGTTTCCTATCGTTGAATAAAAAATGTATTGGTAGCTTTGTCATGGTTTATAAAACGTTAATTTAACCCCTCCTTGATCTAAGATATTTTCATTTTTTTTATTTTCAAAAACAAGTGTTATTGTATGTATATGTGTGTTTCTCATGTCTCTTTAATATTAGCCTTATATATTATATTGAAAGGGCGCCTATCTTTTTGAGCGCTCAACTTGTGTGTGTGTGTGTGTGTATCGATGAGAGGAATTAATATCATCACTTTGATTTCTTCCTTAACTTTCTTGCATTGTTTCTTACTAAACTTTCTATACTGAAAAAATCATGAATTCTACCATCTTGCCAAACACATTTTTAGACCAAAAATCACTTTTCACCAAATATGAAAAGAAGCCTTCCATCAATATAGTGAAAGGCTTAAAGCAATGTCTCAGTTCCCTCGGGAACCATAATGTTTGTATTTGGCACCAAAATTTCGTATCAATTATTCTCTCACTAATTCTAAATTTTGTGCGTTTGTATTTGACAGATTTTGTGGTGTTGTCTTCTCATGTGAAAGACTGGTTTATTTTTCATCTTCAATACTTTGTTCTTCTTTAAGCTGGAAAAAGGGGGGAAAAAAACAGAAAGCGAAAAGAGGTAAAACATATATATCCTATCATATTTCTTTTGCTATATGATTGAATGCATATTATCGTCACTTTGAATCTTATACTCTTGCGTTTCTGAACTAATTCTACTCTAGTTAATGCTAAAATTTCGTGAGCTCTCTTTTTTGCCAGATTCTATGTTCTTGTATAAGTAACATTGAAATCTCTGCAGAACAAGGTAAGTGTGAATATATTTTAATTTTTTGTCCATGTTTTGTCTTATATGTGTGTGTGTGTGTCATTTGTTATATATATTTAATCAGTTTGAACTTTTATCTTTTTAATGTTAGCTTCTACAGTCATGCGTGAAAAAATTGACCGTTGTAGATAGATAATTAATTGCTTTGAACTTCAACAAGAAAGACAAACGATATTTCTTATTATAGATCATTTGATGATCTATTTATAATAAGTTTATAGTTAGTATGCTAACTATTCACTCCTTTAAAGTGAATTAGTAGTTAGCTGATGATATACAGTAATACTGCATTGAAATTATTGCTGTAAATATTGGGTGGCTTGAGCTATGGAATTTTGAGTTCACTTAAGAGACCACCAGAGCTACCTATACTAACATATTCTAGTATTTGGCCTTGGCATATTACTAAAATAATACAGAAAATTAACAATGAAAAAATCTATTTCTATTCAAGGAAAAGTCTGCGACAAACCTATTTTGCTACCTATTGTTCAGTTATTTAGGGTATTGTAATTTTTTTTTTGACAGAAAATTGTTTCTACAACAAAATTTCATTGTTTAGTACTCTTGAGACCACTTTAAGTTTCATTCACAATTATGACACCAAGTTAGGTTCCAAAAATATACAACCTTCAAAGGTTGATCCATGACCATCACTGTTAAATTTTTGTTGAGTTTATCCTTATCAATAATATGTCATTGATGTAGACCAATAGGGCCTTTAATTTATGGATGGTAATGAGTGATCTTATTTGCCTGTGAAACAAGCATGTGGTGCTTGCTATTTGTAGCCATTGGTAGGGAATCCTAATAAGTGAGGGCGGTCTAAACCATAAGGCAAATGGGGCAATTTGACTAAGGCTTCCAAAAAAATTTATTAACACCCCTATTTTATATGTATGTAAGTATGTATGCATTGTTATATGTTTAATTGCATGTCAAAGAAAATAAAAAAGTATTGATTATTCTTTCCATTGAAAAGCTCCAATCATTCCCAATATAACATTAGTTATTGAGTAGAGTCTATTATCTACATAAAAAAATAATAGTAAGATCCATAATATTTGTCGAAACGCAACCAACTCTTACGATTGACTAAGTTCCATGATATTTGTCTTAACAAAAATATCACTTGCTGCACACTTTCAACCATGCCCTTATTGTCTCTCCTCTCTCTTCTCTTCAAGTTCTTGCTAAATCATATTCAAGCATGCAGTTGTATAAATAACTGATAAAAATATACAAAGGAAGATTCTATGTATATCTTTCTCTCTTTGGCCTTTTCATGAGTTGTGACACTTGGAGAGTGATTGACAAGTGAGAATTACTTATCTTCAATTATTCGATCAAATTATGATTCCGTAATTGAAAAATTGAAAGTGATTTTTCACTAAAAATTATGTTTTGAGACCACTTTTTAACCCTTCTTAAAAACGTCTCTGTTGATGTTTTATAATTAATTATAGATTATTTTAATTTATGACATAAGTATCCTAATAATTATTTAAATATTTTCATTTTAATGACACTATATTTCTAGAGAGTCTTAGTCCATGATTTTTTATGTGAAACCAAAACAAATGTCTACAAATAAATCTCAAATTGGGCACACCAATTTTATTTGGATTTTTGTATGTGAAACCTATATAATTTAATCTTTGTATGAAATAATTTTATTTTGCGCAAGGAAACTACTGTTATCCGATATTCTTTATTTTTTCCTTAAAAAAATATTTCAGATGATTGCTCCAAATTATTTGAAAGTAAATACAGTATTCTAAATCTTGTCTAATCAATGAATATATTTTTTATTGGTTTATTAATGAATATTTTCTTTTATGATAGTTAACTATACACAAGTAACATAAGTATACTTTTTTTTTCTTTTTTGAATTAAAAAAGCAAACACTAATAGTAAAGTTACAATTACAAGTGGGATCAAACTCGTGATCTCCCACTTATAAGGAAGCTTACATGCCACTAGTCTATAAGACTGCCATTGGCAACATAAATATGTTTTTCATTCATTTATTCTATTCCACTTCTCAATGAATGATTAATTTATAAGAATTTCTAAAACATAAACAACCAAGCATATATTTAATTAAAGTGTAAATAGGCAAACCTACTATTAAGATAAGTAGAAAAATGAACAAAATAAATGAAACATTATGTTTGGTTTTTGTTTTCAAAAACTGTTTTTTTATTTTTTTTCTTGGTGTCAAACTCAGGAATTCTAAATTAAATCCTCAAAGATTTACCATGAAGATTAAATTTGTTGGTAAATTTTTTCTATTTTTAAAAATAAAAAATTTTAAAAAATCATTGGGATAAGTGTTTTAGATTTAACTTTTTCAAGACTGTTCTCAATTTTTATTTTTAAAGACAAAAAAATGGAAGCATCTAAAAGTTCTTTTCATTTAATTTTTCTTATTTTCAAAACACATTACATGACTATTGGAAAATCAAATATAGTTAGCTTGACCAATTTTTATTATAAACAACCATAATTAATTGTCTCCAGCTATCACTATCTTCCTATTTTTTAATTTTAAAACTATTTTTATATTAATATCACCAAACAAATTTTCATTTTGTTTTATTTTAAAAAACAATTCTAAAAATTGTTTTACAAAAAATTTTTTAAAAACAAAAAAAAGGAACAAAAACCAAATAGGCCCTAAGTAACCATTCAACCTTATAACCTCTTCTTACTTCCCATTAGATGGTTCCATTGTTTCACAATCTAAGGGGTCTTTTGCTTTTTTAGCAATTCCTTTTTTTTTCATTTTCTTTTGGATCCCAAGTTACTTTAGCAACTCCTTTATCAGGCTTATAAGCTATCATAATCCAACTTGAAATCATACTAGCCCTGTTTTTAGGATAGAAGCTATCTAGCATGACATTTGTACCATTTTATGATTATATGAGTAACAATATGCTTTTACTCCTACTCTAATTAATCACCGTACCTCCTTAATTTACATGTCTGTCAAATTCCTATATCACTGTAAATTTGGCTTTTACATTCAATTAATAATGTGGCCATGCATTATTTCATAGCTAAATTCTAGATAGTAGGATAGACTAACTATATATCCTCATATCCATGTTAGATGGAGGGCTGCCTTCTTGACCTTGCAAAGGATCAAGTAACAAATTTGGTGAATCTAGTGAAAAATGAAGTTCAATATTTATGTTGTTTCAACAGTTATGTTGAAAATTTTGATAAAGAAAGGGAAAGGCTAGTTGCAAAGCACAAGGATATCAATATGAAAATTGGAAAAGTCAAAGGTGTTTCAATAGTCACGAACGAAGTGCAACAGTGGGCAAATGAAGCAAATAGTCTCATTGAAGATAACACTAAAGCAAAGAAGATGTGCTTTTTTGATTTATGTCCTAATTGTTGGTGGCAATATCAAAGAGGCAAGGAATTGGCACAAAAGTCTCTACAGATTGAAGACCTTCTCGAAAGATGCAATAACGTGAGCATAGTGGCAGGTCAAGCTGATGTTTCAAGTATAAAATACAATATGCCACAAATCTTCCTTGATTTTGAGAGTAGAACATCAAAGTTTCAAGATCTAATGAAGGCATTAGAAGATGAAAATTGTAATATGGTTGGATTACAAGGCTTAGGAGGAACAGGAAAAACATCAATGGCATTAAAAGTCAGTGAAAATCTTGAAGGATCTCATTTTGGCAAAGTTATCTTTCTTGTTGTGTCTAAACCTTCTGATTTCAAAAACATTCAATGTGAAATTGTGAGACAATTAGATTTGAAATCAAAGGATGAAAAGGAGGAAGAACTCTTAAAGGGAATATAGTCTAAAATCACTAGTATGGAAGAAAAGCTACTTATAATACTAGATGATATGTGGGAAGAGTTTGATCTCAAGAAAAAGTTAGGGATTCCATCTGTCTCCCAGCATAAGAATTGCAGTGTACTGATAACTACATGCAACATAAACGTTTGTCAAAATATGAGATGCCAAAAGATCATTCAATTAGAGAAGCTAAATGAGGAGGATGCATTGAATCTTTTCCATCCAAATGCTAGTATGAGTAATTCCAACATTTCTAAGAAGTTAGTTCGAGATATTGTGAAGCAATGTCGAGGAGTACCAGTTGCAATTGTAGCAATTGCAAGAATGTTAAAAAAGTTGCCTGCTAACAATTGGAAGGTTGCTTCGATAACCTTAAAGACTTTTAAGTCAATGCTTAAAACCGATGATGAAAATTTAAAAGATGTTGGTAAATGCTTGAAGTTAAGCTATGACCACTTGAAAAAAAAGGCCAAAGAACTCTTTTTGATATGTTCCATGTTCCCAGAAGATGAAGAAATTCCTATTCAAGTTTTAACTAAGATTGGTATAGGGTTAAGCTCTTTTGGAGAAAATGACAAGTATTATTTAGAAAGAATACTGGAAGTGCATGTTGCTATAGGGGAACTCATAGGTTCTTCTTTGCTGTTGAGTGGTAAAAGAGATCTTGTGAAGATGCATGATTTAGTTCGTGAGGTGGCCTTGTGGATAGGAGACAATTCAATCAATCATGGATTCGAAAAAGTCTATAAAAGAGAACTTGAGATATTTGCTTTGGAAGAATGATGATTTTCCTAATGAATTTGATGGAAAAAAATTGGAGTTCCTATTAATCTTTCTAAGTGGTTCAGAGGACTTAGAGGTCTCAGAAACATTCTTTAATGAGATGAGAACGCTCAAAGTTTTCATTTTAGATCGTTATAGTTATTACCCAAGAATTCAAGTTCTATCATTGGCAAATTCACTTCAATCATTAAAGGATATTCGAACACTCATCTTAAAGAATTTAGAGTTAAGAGACATCTCTATCTTAGGAAACTTGTTGAGTCTTGAGACTCTTTGGTTTTATGATTGTTCAATCATTAAATTACCAATAGAATTTTTGAAATTAAAGAAGTTGAGATCATTGGAGGTAGAAGAATGTGAAATTGAAGAGAATAATCCTTTTAAAGTGCTTGAAAAATGCTCACAATTAGAAGAGTTAACTTTTGTTGGTAATGAATGTGATGCCAAAGAAGAAGATGCAATTTCTCAAAACAGATCTCTTCTTACACTAGATAAATATTGTATATCTTCTGATAATCTTTCAGATTATTTTGAAAATCATGGTTCCATGTCAAGATGCTTTCAAATAGACAAACTAAGTCATTTAGTCTCATATGCAACATTTAAGAAACTTACGGAAAGAGCCGAACTTCTTATCTTGGAAGGAGAGGGTGAACAAAGAATATGGAAGAATCTTGTCCCGGATCTTGTTGCAATAGATGAGGGAGGAACATTGAATGATTTGATTGTTTTTCATTTGTGCTCATATCCTCACATGGAGTGCCTTGTAAATGCTAAGAATCTGTCTAGATTTTTTGAGAAATTAGAGATTGTAGAGTTGAAAGATTGTGAGAGATTGAAGAGCATATTTTCTAATGGTAACTTCAACTTATGTCGTCTCAAGTCCATAAAATTGGAAGACTGTCCAACGTTGACATCAATTTTTCAGCCATCCACTACTCAAAGTCTTGAGGAACTAGAAGAATTAACAATTAAAGATTGCAATAAGCTGGAACACATCATAGATGATGAAGATGGTGATAGTAATCAAAAGGGTTACAATGACTTACCGTTGTTCCCAAAATTCAAAAATTTTCAAATTAAAGGGTGCAACAAATTAAGAGTAATATTGCCAATCCTATCTCCTGGAGACCTTCCATCTCTAGAAAAGATATGTATACGTGAGAGTGAGCAATTGGAATACATATTTGATAAGTTCCAAGAGGGGGAAGATCCTATTCTCCCCTCACTGAAAGAGATGGAACTTTGTGGAGTACCAAGACAAAGTAGAATTTTTAGAGAATATGAGCAACTCAAGAGTTCATCAATGCAAAAGCTATCATCTCCACTTTCAAGGCAAAAGTCCAACAAGATACATCAAAATCCTGCCACGTGTGCTCTCTCTTGGGCTCATGCATGCTATTTTCTCAATAAATTGAGGCCTGCTAATGAAGAGACCAATCTTGCTGTTTCTAAACATAGACCACTTGACCACACAAACCTAATGGTATGCTACACTTGCCTTATTTCTTTCCTTCAAGTGTCTCATATATATATATATATTGTTCAAGGAATATAAATATAAATTGCCAACTATTTCAAAGAAGAAAATGGTCCACAAATGAACAAAATAAGCTTTGAACGTTGAAAGTATCTAGAATTTCCATTATTTAAAGGTAATTTGAATTTTTTTTAATGCATGATTGAGTTAATTTGTAATAAGATTTTGCAAGTGCATCTTGTTTTAAAAGAAAAATTGGTAAAAAGTAAGGCTAAAAACATCCACACATGTATATATTTGCGTGCTTATGCCTCGTGTATCTAGAAATTTAAAATCCATTGAGTATAATATATATATATATATATATAAAACTAACATGCTATATATACGTAACTGAAAAAAGTTGGCATGTATATTTGCCAATTAGATGAAGTGCTATTTTCCGAGATTTCATATCTCCATGCATTACTTAAAAAATTAAATCAAGTTGTTCAATTGTTGAATAACAATGCTGGTTTGTAGGGATTACTTGTATCAAAGAAATGGATTGAAACTATTGCTACCATTGGGAGACAGCTACTCCATGTTGGTCATATCAAGAAGATGGAACTTGCAGATTTCTCTTTAAATTCAAAATCAACACTGTTCACTTTATCCATGGCTTCAATGATATTGTGCGAAGAATTGACAATTAGCTAATGTGATAGATTGAAGCACTTGGTAACCAGTGATGAAGATGATTATAAAGATCAAAAGAAGTGTAGTTCCATTTTTCCAAACTTAAAGAAGCTAGAAATCAGGGAGTGTAATGACATAGAATTTTTATTTCCATCCATAATATCATTAGAAATTAAATATTTAAGGTCTTGGACGATCAGAGATGCTCCCAAACTAACACATGTTGTTGGAAAATACCATCATGAGGATCTTTCAGCGAATCAAAATCAACAAAATAAGCTGCACTTTGATCTCCCTGCTCTGGAGTTCCTTTACTTTGAAGGTGTACCAAATATGATAAGCATTTGTGTCAAGAATTATTATTTCTTGGTACCACCATCTCTTCATACTGTTTCTTTGGACAATTGTGGCATTATATCTTTTATTGATTTGATCCTTTGGTCGAGTGGAGAACGCTTGAATTGGGAAATCACAAAGGTAACACTCTTTTTTACTTATTGTTATTTGTTTTGCTTTATGCATCATAAATGACTCTCTTTGGTTGACAAATTAGATCTTTATTATTTTTCCTAATTTTCTTATTTTACTACATGATTAATGCCTTTTTTCTTTTTGAAATCTCAATTATTGTTTTAATTTACTTGATATATGTCTCAATTTATTTATTATAATATTTTAGGCTATATAATTAGAGCTGCTGGTTAGCTCATGAGTTGTGGGTTGGCCTGTAGCAGATTGTGGGCTTAGCAAAACGGTTGATATAACCACATCCTATGTGATCTATATGTCTACCAACTCATTTTTATGGGCTAACCCACTAATAAAAAAATGCTTTACTATTTTTTAGTATTTTTTACAGTAAAAAAATCATATTTTCTACATAAAAACTAATTATTAAAATAACTATAAAACTCCTTCTAAATCCTTAAAAAAATACAATACAAATTTAAAATACATTAATACAATCCAAAATAAATGTATATACTATCAACAAACAAACATAGTAAAAAGTTTAAATTCAAATATTAGAGGCTTTATCAGAAGTTGAAATAACATGAATTTGAGTAGATTTTTTTAAAGCTTCATTTGTGACAAAAAAAAAAGTATTTTCCTGTTTTTCTTTCGGAAAAAGTGGCGGGAAGGTGGGAAAAATATTTTCAGTTATATGGTCTGCGAGAAAGGTAGAGTCGATGTTTGATAATTACACTCCTTCTCTCTGTTTTGTTTTTTTAATCTCTTTCCATATAACATTTAATTTTATGAAATTAGAAGATTTGGACTCCAAAAATAAAATGAATCCCGTACACTTCCATTTTTTTTATTATCTCTCGTACAAGTTATAACATTAATTAAGTACTATTGTGGGTCGTCAAATTGAAAAAAAAATAGTATCTTTTCACGCCGTCTTCGAGAATGACAAAATAATGTTGGCGAAATATCTAAAATATTTATTTTGGATTTTTTAAAAAAAATTGATGAATAAAAATAACTTGCTTAGAAGAAATGTTAATAAAATCGAGATATAAAAAATTATTTGTATAACATGTTTGTTTAGAAATTTGAATGTATTGATATTTGGAAAAAAATAAATAAATGGGCTAACCCATTAACCTGTAAGTTAGTTCATTGCGGGTTCAAGTTCTGCAGGGCCAAATCCGACCTGTATTCATAGAAACTCATTTTTTTCAACTTAATTTGCATTTTTTGACAGGTTGAACCCATGGGCTTAATCATTATTACCAGCTCTATTATAATCTGATATAATAATTTACAAGTGTTAATTTTTTTTTCAGTGACATAAAATTAAGTCATAATATTCATATGTTTGATTTATTTAGGACTGTTCAAAGTATAGCATGGTGACAAAAACTATTTTTTTGAGATTTTAAATTTGATGAAGAAAAAGAGAAATATGGAAATTATATTAATATGACAACAAAAAAATGAATAACTCAAAATTTGACCTAAATGACGGCTTTTTGACAAAATGTAACTAATTAATAAACACTAGTTAAACTTGAAAATGAATTTTGTTTAGTATTTGGTTTCAATTTATTTTTCAGGAGGAAACAAATGCATCCAGAGATGGAGTCACCAACTTACAAGCAGTCCAAGGCCCATTGACTCAATCATTGAAAAATATCAAGGATATGAAACTCCAAAACTGTTCAAGGCTTGTATCATTGTTCACTCTACCGATTGCTTCAACGATTTTGTTAGAAAATTTGACAATCCGAAGTTGTCATCAACTAAAGTACATTGTAGAAGATGAAGACAATGCTCAAGTTTCCACGAATTGCTGCTCCATTTTTCCAACTTTAAAGAATCTAGAAATTGATGATTGCAAAGGGTTGGGATTTTTATCTCCTTCCTCATTATCATTATCTGTGCAACTTAAGAGTCTCAAGTCTTTGACTGTCAAGGGTGCTTCTGAGCTAAAATGTGCCATTGGGAAATACGAGCATGAGGATCATTTATCCAGTCAAAATCAACATCATGAAATGCACTTTGATTTCCCAGCTTTAGAGTTCCTTTGCTTTCAAGATGTCCCAAATATGGTAAGCATTTGGATTATGAATAATTTTAGATTTGAATACCGCCATCTCTTCACACTGTTTCTCTGGATCATTTTAGATTAATTGTTTGTCTTGAAATGTTAGGCATTGGCTATACAATAAAATACTACATGGAAATTTAAAACGGAACAATTTAATTTGTTCTTAAAACTGTTACAAAAAAAGGAAACATTATCAATCAATTATTTAAATTAACATATAAAATTATATCATTCAGTGCGAAATATATCCTATATTTCTATTTTCTCCCTATCCTAATTTGCTTTTCTTTTCCAAAATCGCATATTTTTGGATGTTACTTTTTCATTGATAGATATGATGAATAGAAAAGAAATTAATGCAGAAATTATATGTGTGTGTATATATGTATGAGTACACATTACAATATATGGAATTTCCACAAGAATTAAAAGAAAATTGAAAAAAGAAAAGAGATTAAAAGGTAGATCTTAAACTAATAGGTTAAAGTATACTTTTGGTCTTCTAATTTTATATAAGGTTTTAATCTAGTTTTTTAATTTAAAAAATATATTTTCAATTATCTAACCCTAAGATTCGTTAGTTTTAAATGATTATTTTTTGTATCAATTATTATTATTTTAAAAAAATTAAATTTAATATATTAATTTTTGATAATATTTTGTCAATATTTAAAAGTTTAATGTATAATTTTTTTGTGATGAAACTAATGATAGGGTTAAAAGAGTAAAAAATATTTTATAAAATTAAAAGATCAAAAAGAAACCTTATATAAAGTTAAAAGATTAATATTCTTCTAAATTAATTTTTATTTGCAGATTTTATTGATTATTGTTTGCATTGATATGCATATAATTTATGTATTTGTAGGGACAAGATTTATCCACAAATGCAGTTCATCGAGCTTTTCAAGCTACTCAAAGCCTCACTACGCAGTTATTGATCAACATCAAGAAGATGAAACTCGTGAATTGTGCCAACTTAATATCATTGTTTTCTCTACATGATGCCTCAATCCTTTTCTTGGAAGAACTGACAATCGAAAGATGTGATCAACTAAAATGCATTGTAGCATATGACGGAGGCTCTACAGCTCATATGAATCACAAATCCATCTTTCCAAAGTTGAAACGTCTAGAAATTTTATTTTGCAATGCAATGGAATATGTGTTGGGAAGTAGCTCTCATGATGACCATTTATCTCATCAGAATCAAAATATCAAAACTTGCGTTGATTTTCCTGCTCTGGAAGAACTATGGATATATGATGTGCCAAAACTTGTCAGCTTGTGTCCTGAAAACTTTTGTTTGAGAGGGTTATCTCTGGAGGCCATTTACTTGAATTTTGAGTGGTCTTCTATGTTTAGCATCATATCTTTTAATGATTTTATGGTTTGTGATCATGCAACACAAGACTCCACAACCACAAAGGTACGACTCTATTTTAACTTCTCTCCTCGTCTTATTAGTAATTATTTTGAACAGTCCTAATAGATGTTATTTGATAATTTGAGTCATGATGTTATATATATATATATGTATATATGTATATATGCATTACAAATTAAAATTAAAAAAAATAATATTTATTTACATTAATCAATATTGAATTAAAAAATGGTGAAGGACAATTTCCTTTGTTTTGCACGTTTGTGGTTGAATTTTTAATCACTTCACACAGTCACATATTTGAACGTTAATGGTAAGTTAAGTTTAATTACAATTGCCCACAAGTTTATTAAAATATTAATGTTGAAAGGTGAGAATGACATATACTCTTCTTTGCCGTTCAATGAGTCCTAGCTAATCCCCATTTTTTCACAAAATAGAGTCTTGTTAAATTCTTACTTGCTTAACACATTTATGTGTTTCAGTGTTAATGTTTGGTTAATTAACTTCTCCATATTTGGCTAAGGATAAGGAGCATATTGTCATGCTATCAAGTTTATCTAATTCAATAATTGTTACCATATGAAATGGAATCATGACCTGGACATCAATACTCTCCTACGGTTACTAATCCATTAATAAGCAAGTCTTTGCAACTCCCCGTTAATGTCCATGATTAATAACTAGTAACATATGTAACTCCTTTAACCTATGTTAAATGCTTTGTCTAATATTTTAGATGAAAATGTCCATGTACGATCAGTATAAATAGGTTTCAAAAGTTGTTCAAGGATGGTCAAGCAATAATAGAGTAATTTCTTCCTATTTGATAGTGTTTAATTATCACTTGTTCTTTCGAGTTTCTATACCACCATATCTTAATTAACAAATGCATTTTTCACTATTTTTTATTTTTTATTAATTGAGTAAGAATAATTTTATATACTTTAATTTAATTTGATTCTTTCTTCCTCCCCTATTTTCTGTGATGTCAAAATGGTGAAGGACAATTGCCTCTGTTTTTCATGTTTAATAATGCTAGTGCTGCAATCACTTCACACGTTCACATATATCAATGCTAATGGTAGGTTAAATTTGATTACAATTACCTACAAGTTTATAACATATTAAACGTTGAAACGTGAGCATCACACACTCACCTTCCCCATTCACTGTATCATTAGCTAGTGCTTTTTTTTTTTTTTCAAACAACACATTTTTGTGTTTCAATGTTAATGTTTGGATTATCTTTTTCATATTCTATCAAGGATAAGGAGTATACTGTTATGCTAGAATATGTTTGATCTAATTCAATAATTGTTATTAGATCTTAATATCAAATGCTTTTATCTCTAATTTTTATGATTAAAAAGATGTGAAAATTTTTAGAAAATAAAGATTTAAACAAACTCTTTAGAAATGTAAATTTGTTACCAATGACTTATATTGCGGTATGAAGGAAGTATGTGTTTTTTAGTTTTAATGATTGGCCAATTAAATTTTCCATAGTTTGTTAAGAATAAGGAGTATTTTGTTATACTTGTAGGATGATTTAATTCAATAATTGTTGATGGATCTTAATATCAAATGTTTTTCTCTAATTTTTATTTTTTTATTAATTTGTTAAGAATAATTTTATTTACTTCAATTTAATTTGATTCTTTCTTCCTCCCCTATGTTCTATAATGTTAAATCGGAATGTGATATTGATGTTGTGTCTTTGTATTTTATAGGCAACTAAAATGCACTTGCAAGCTTTGAAATGGCTTCAAATAAAAAATTTCAAAATAGAAGAGATTTTCAACTTAAAAAATTTGGACGCAAAGAAAAATGAGAAAAGACTTGAACCATTAACATCAAATTTACGAAGATTGGAGCTGATAGATCTATGGGAGTTGAGGAATATATGTTCGGGCCCCAAATGCATTCTCAGCCTCAACAATCTCTCTCTGTTGGTAATCAAAGGATGCAAGAAGCTTGAAGTTGTCTTCTCTACCTCTACATTGAGAAGCCTGCCGCAGTTGTTGTGGCTACATATATCAGAATGTGAAGAATTAGTTGAGATCATTGAAGAGGATAATGAGGAAAGTGCTGGAGATCATTTGCCTCATCAACCATGCTTCCCAATGTTAAAATATTTAAGTGTTGAGGGCTGTCACGAGCTGAAGTATTTGTTCTCTGTCACAGTGTCTGGTATCTTTCCACAACTATGGCAGTTAGATGTAATAGATGCCTCCTCCCTCGAGCATGTGCTGATTAGACCAGATGCGTCGAAAGAAATGGCCAAGAAGGAACTGCTTCCAAAGCTAAGATGTGTAAAACTGGAAAGAAATCCAAGCCTCATGAACATCTGCCATGGGATTGATTTTCAAACATTAAAAAATCGCTCAAGAGTGGATAACTGTCCGAAATTTTCTTTTCATGGTAAGCATTCAAACATTCAAATTGAAAACTATTATTATGTGATCATCATAACATGACATTGGAAAATCTTACTTACAGAAACCATCGTTACTCAGCATCAAGATGGCCTAAAGGATCTTGATTCCAATGTTGAGGCAAAAATAGAGGAGAAGGTTTCTTCACATCCAATACAAATCAGTCAGGCACGGGAGATACCAAAGAGAGCCCAAGTTTGAAAATCCAACAATCCCAAATTGGTTCACCAAACTTCACAAGGGTATGTCTTATTTCACCACCTTATGTACCTAATCATGTTTGTGACAGTGTCTTAGTTATAAAATGCCATTAACAACTGATATATATTCTATATATTTTACAGTTATCTTGTGAATAGATACATATTTTTTGTACAATCTAAAATTTGGTAGAAAATATTGTTGCTAATTATCAAATTTCTCTTCTTTAAAATTATCTTATGAGTCATGATTTATTTTTAATCCAAATAATGGAAGCAAAAATATTGAATTTGATGAGATATTTATAAAAAAATCAACAAAAGTTATTTTATTGATGAATTCCGCATGACTAAAATTTTTACAATGAATGTTGGTTTGGGCACTAAGGAAATTGTTGAAGAGGATGTTATTCCTGAGATGCCAAAATTGACAAATTCACCATCTGATTCAAGAGCCATTGATGAATTGGTATGTGTTTCCTCATCTGATTTCTTCACTTTATTTTATACGTAGCAATAGAAAAGGGGATAAACTATTGAGTATTTTTATTTATTTTTTCTCTAAAATCCTAAAGAAACAAGTGTTCAAATGACTTTGAGATAACTAATATTCACATGTAAAACATCTCCAAAAGTGACATTATTATTATTCTTCCAAATATATTATAGGTTTTATGCCTGATGGCTATAACTTATGCATGATGCTTTAATCATCTTTATGTAGGATGAGTTGGTTAGCAAAGAAATGCCAAAGGAAAAACTTATGATGGATCCACAACAACCCAGAAATGGTCAAACAAACTTGGCAAAGGTATATTTCATGGTATTTCATTACATGAGATTCGTTTTAATTCAGATAATTTATTTTTTGAGACATGATTTATTTTAATCCAGATAATGAAAACAAGAAACGTTAAATTTGATATTTTTATACAAGAATCCAACAAAAATAGATGTATAACATTTTATTTTATGAATGAATTCGACATGGCTAAACTTTTTATTATTATTATTTTTTTTTTTTGGGTTGCTTTGGAGGCTAAGGAAACAACAACAGAAATTGTTGGAGAGACCAAAAATGTCAAATTCACTTTCTGATTCAAAAGCCATGGATCAACCGGTATGTATTTCCTAATTTGATCTGTTTATAATTCAATTTCTTTTACATCTATTGTATGATGGTTGCAGCCACAAAAAGAAAAAAAAACCAGAATTAAATTTCCTTGAAACAAAACCAAATAAAGTTTAAAAAAAAAAAACAGAGAGCTATTAATGTGAACAAATTCTTCACCTTTTATGTAGAATGAATAAACGCAACATTCTAGACAAATAACACTCACACACCACTCGATCTCATAGCAATTTCAAATCAAAATGAATGAATTTGGCATGACTAAATTCTATTTCAACCTATGCTATATGCAATACAAGTAGATTCTGAATGATAACTCCATATCTAATTTAAAATTCATAAGATAAGTTGTATAACCTATGCTCGTGTCTCATTCATCTTTATGTAGGATGAGTTTGTTGGCAGTGAAGTGCTGAATAATGAAAAAAATATGGAAGGTCCACAACAACCCACAAACGGGACAAAAAACATTTCAAAGGTATATCTCATGGTATTTGATGATACTCTAGCACACACACACACGTGTAGTAATAGAATACTACTAATAATCAATACACACACAAACTACTGATTTCTAATGACATTATATTACTTTTTGTCAAATATGATTTTATATATATATATATATAGATACATATATACACACATAAAAGCTTGTATGAGACGCAGCCATTCTCTAGTACATGACTATTTGCTTTCTGTCTTATAGTTATCTATTGCTAATTCTCGGTCACAAACATGATTATATCCACAAGATTGTATCAAAATACTTTCATTCTCTGTGAAGAATAAATTTACTCTATTTTAAAGTTATTTTATGAAAAGATAGGATGTGCGCCTTTTAATCTAAAAAGTTTGCAAAAATGTTTAAAAAATGAATTTGACAAGGTATTAAAAAAAAGAAAACAAACACGATTATATCAACGAACTTGTATTAGGTAATGCTTCCATTACTGCAAAAGTATCTTCTTTCTCTGTCTAAAACTTACCTTCCAAGATACCATTTAGTTTCACAAAAAAATGGCAAAAAAAGATTAAATCTGATAAGATACCTTTGGGGGAAAACAATAATAACTACAAACAACACATTCTCTTTTATTATTGAATCACACAGACTAAACATTTTTGTTGTACATGTTGTTGGTTAGGGTAATAAAGAAGCAACAAAGAAAATTGTTGAAGAGGATGTTATTTCTATGATACCAAAAATGACAAATGCAACATGTGACTTCAGATTTCTTTTTACATCTATTGGGATATCAGTTGGAACATAAAAAAGAATTAAGAAAGAACAATATTTCATAGATGATGAAAATGACATCTTCACCATCTGATTTAAAATTCCTACGATAACTTCTATAAATTAGATAATATGAAGATGTTTAGGATTTTTTTTACGTACCTAGACAATGGAAAGAGGAAAAAAAAAAAACAATAACAGAGTACTGATTTATCTTTTTTATGCCTAGTTCACATGATGCCTCTCTAAAAGTAAAACTATTCTTATTTCAAAGAATGAATTTAATAACTTCATTTAAAATTCTAACAAAACTTCATCTGTTTAATTTTTTTTTAAATTTGATATGTGAATGTATTTATTTACTTAACCATGAATTCAACAAAAACTGTAAGCACTTTTGTGCTTTTGTTGGTCAGGGTACTCAAGATCAAATAGCATATTCAACTATTCTAGAAGATCCTAATGTAGAGAAAATTAAAACAACGAATCAATTAAACAAAGATGAATCTTCAAAGGTAACAAATTTGTTGTTTCTTATATAAGATATATGACATAATGGTAGATGAATTAAACTTACACTACTCTCTTATTCATCTTCATATAGGATGAGATGGTCCTCAAAGATTTGAAAAAGAAAGCAATTGCAATGGATCCTCGTTCACTACGGGAGACCAGACATGACATACCATATAATGATCCCAAAAATGTTAACAGTTCATCAAAGAATGAATTATAATACTTCAATTTCATTAAAAAAAAATAAAAAATTAAATATCTTCAACTGATTTGGTGGTGTGCAGATTGTTAAAGAAAGAGTTGAACGTGATGCTTCATTAGACACCTTACATCATCCGAGCTCATCAGCTTCTACAAAGGTGTGCTTCTTGATTGAAACCATTTAAGCACTTGATAAATTTATCATCTCTATTATAATGATCTATCACTTCCAATAGAAGGTACCTATTCCTATGAGTCCAAATCTCGATGGAGTCATCACCAGCAAAACTATAGAAATTTTTGAAGAGCAAGAGCAAGAGGAAGAGGAAGGTAAGATGTTAGTGTCTTAGAGTCCGTTTGTTTTCTATCTTTAAAAATTGTTTTTTGTTTTTGAAGATAAAAAATTTAAAAACTTGTTTGGTTAAGTGTTTTCTATTTACTTGTTTACAAAACTATTTTCAATTCTTTGTTTTTAAAAACAAAAAAATAGAAACAACTTCAAGTTGTTTTCACTTTATTTTTCTTATTTTTAAAATATACTACATTTGATTATTAAAAATTACAATTATGTTGACCAATGTTTATTATAAATCTCCATCATTAACTACCTATAATCATCATTATCAGTTTGTTTTTTAATTTTGAAACTGTTTTTAAATTAATATAACCAAATGGATTTTTGTTTTGTTTTGTTTTGTTTTGAAAAATAATTTTCAAAATTATATTTTAAAACAGTTTTTAAAAACAAAAAATAAGAGCAGAAAACAAACAAACCCTTAATTTCAAAGTTTACATATAGATCCTTTACTTTGATTACTTATGTTGGGTTCTTACTTGCAGGTGGCTTGATAGCTACTAGACGTAAGAGAAATGGCATGAAGGCTACAGGTTCTTCATCATCAGGAAAAGAGCACGAAACTCCCCTTTATGGTTACTATATTTCTTTCTTAATTTGAATGAAATACAGTTTCTAGCTTTGGTTCGCACTATATTTTTTATATGTTTTGTTATAGGTAACCCTTCTCTGCCATCTGGACAAATTTTTTCAAGTGAGCGAGCTTCTAAGATCATCTTACCATTGGGTCTTGTGCCATCAAAATCTCCAACAAGTCCTAAGCGAACTCCCTCCAAGTCTACTTATGGTGAGTAACTTCCTTTTGCTATCAAATTTTATTAACTTTTCCTTCATTAATTTTTAAATTTTGGATAGATTTCATATTCCAACTTTGGTTCGTCTTATTATATTTAGGAAGAAACATCCAGGACAATGTTGGAACTGCTAAGAAGCCTTTGCATCAAGTGGTGGATACCATTCAAGATTCCAGTAAGTTACCTTGTGCCTTTAACATGGCTTGTTTGCTTTTATCAAACTTGACTTGATTCCTTGTTGAATCTATAAGTATTTAATTTTGACTTCCTAAGTTTGCTTTTATTATCTCATTCTCTAATGTGATGATGGTTTTATTAGGTGTGGCGCCTTCTATTGATGGCACCAATAAACCTTTGAGTGTTCCTGGGGTGCAAGAGATAATTGATATGATGAAACTAGAAGGTGTTGAACCTTCCGTGCTAGAAGAAGCATTTAAAACTCACCCGCAACTACATCTTTCTTCAGAGGATCGAAGCACTGAGTTGTTACGCTATTCCTATAGGGTGTTGCTAAATATCTTGAACATTTTGGCCACTAAGACCCCCTTCACGATCACTGAGGCAGACAAGAGATTGTTGGCGAAACATTTAAAGGATGCTTCTGTTCTAGGCCTTGAAAAAGATTGGCTTGAGTCTATCAGAATCAAGGTTTTCAATTGCGATGTATCAGAAGTTCATCTCATGCAAGAAACTCTGAAGGGTTTAGGCAATAAGCTACAAGCCAATAAGATGGAACTTGCAAATGTTCGTGATCAAGAGGCAAAAGCTTCACAATCAGTAGAAATGGCTCAAAGAGTTGGAGGAAGCACATAAAGAGTTCAAGGCAGCATATAAAGAGTTGGAGGAAGCTCAATCTCATTTTAATGTTGCACAACAAGAACATGCAAACGTAAGGGTTCATCATTCTGAACTTTTAGAGGAATGCCAAGAAATTCTGGAACAACGAGATCAATGTTCAGAAATAATTGCTGCCAAATTTAGGCCATTTGGCTTTTAAAATAGATGCCATGTGTACTTTGTAAGTCATGTTTCAATTGTACTCGTTGTAGTTGTACTTTTTTATTTCCAAGATAAAAAAATACTGTCATTGACTGTAATATTGCCGTACATTTATTTGCACAAGGACCATCGTGCATGCCATTATATGCTTGTAATGTATGTGTGTTTAGTTTCAAGATGTGTTTATCTTTACACATTTGCTGCTAATAAAATTGAATTGAATTGAATTGAATTGAATACAACGTAAAGAAAAAAGCTACAAGGATTTAGTTGTTTTAGTTGCTTAAATACTCAGTTAATCAATAAATCACCTCATCAATTTTGCAAATTTTGCTCCGTTGGATAAAACTAGCTCCCAATTGATTTTTCCTACTTAGTTTACACAAAATTACAGTTTCTGATCTATGAAATCTTCAACTGGCACAAGGATTAAGAAAACAATATGTTACGCATAAAAACAACATGCAAATTATGTTACAAGACCAGTCCAGGCCAATCATGAAAACAAGATGAAAACCGTTGAATACGACAAGTTGGGTGTTTCTAGCCCAAGAGAAGTTTTGATAATGGAATGATATTGGGCACTGCCCTCTTTTCAATCAAAAAAAAAAAAAAGGAACAAGATAACAACCACTTCATAGGGGAAAACCGGAAAAGATCAACGGGAGAGCAATAAATCACTTAATCAAAGACTACTCTCAGGTGAGATTGTGAAATCTCTTGAACGTACCAAAAAAAGAAGAAAAAAAGCTCTATTCTGACCAAAACTTCACAAAGGCATCTACAAAAGCTCTGAACACTGCCACAATTGGGTTAATTTGTTGTTTCGTTGAATTTCTAGGAGTCCCATCCCATGACTCTCTGCAGAGAAACCATATGGACGTTAAATTAGCAGATGCAAAAGAACCTTAGCGGCAATAGCTCACATCTGAGTTACAACATGGCATTTAAGACCAGAGCAGCAATTGAGATGCCAACATCATATATACTTACAGATTGATTCTATCTAAAGTTGGGTTGCTTTTCAGGGTGTTGCCACCAAGTTGACCATTAATTTCATGCTCATTTGTGCGCTCCTGGCCTTCTTTAGTCTTGGCATGAAAGCCATCTTGAATTTTTGTCTGCCAATGCATTTATACATCAGAGAAAATTTCTAAATCATGGACTAAAATAAACAGCAAACAAACATGCATCTGATTCCTGACTAGACTAAAAGCACATTCTCTAGATACTTCAAGATTTCTCGAAATTAATGGAAGTCCAAAATAGTAAGCAGAAGGTCTAAGTGGTCTCAGGAGAAAATAAAATGGCATCAGCAGAAGGCTTGTCCATCCATGTTGAGCTCAAAATTTCAATCCCCATCACAGGAGATCCAAAGTTTAGGATGGCTTGATACCAGTGCAATAGTTCATCACCAACGCCAATTTCAGGACGTTGACATCACATATCTTAATGTGGAAACTGACTTCTTTTTCTAAAAAAAAAAAAAAAAAAATTTGGCCAAGGTGGGAACTGACTTCAATGATGAAGCAACACGTCTAATTTTCTTCTTCTTGAAAACTCCACTAAGTGGCCCACACTTTATTTAGACTCCTTTCCTCTACCACCTATCTCTGTAGTTCTCTCCTCCTCTCCCCATACTTTCTTCTCAGTCCAATATCTAAATGCTGAAGAGCACTAGATCTTTCCTATCTCTGCTCTGGTCTCTCACCCTCTTCTCACATTTTCTACCCATGCAGTAGGCCCGCAAAATCTAATCCTCCCCCCTCCATGGAGCAAGAACTTAGCTACAAATTGAATTTTGTCAATGACTAGAACATTTGCTTTGCAACCTCATGCAAAAAGGGAAGCCAGAATACTTGGTTAATTTGCCAGTTGACATGGTATTAGAGCCTTTATGACCATGGGATTGGACAGAAGTTCAATCCTTTCCACCTATTAACTATAATTAAATTTTATCACTAGATATGATGGGCATTTTGGCTATGTCCATGCTTAAAGCACAAGGGGCCTTCAAGTGAGGGACCTGTTAACAAGTTCATAACAAAGTATTCACAAACGTCAACTCAATAACTTTAACTAATTAAATTGATCTTTAACACAATTGTACATTATCTTGTTTTACAACTGAAAGCTGTTACATTTTGACATATTTTAGAAGACTACTGTCCATCAATTTCAATGCGTATTAACAATGCTAAAAGAGGGGGAAATCTTAGGGAAGATCTGATACGCAGAGTATCCAACGAAACAATACGCATATGCTTTATATGTTGATGCACCAGAAATCAGGATGTAAGAAAGCTTAACATGACAATCAACATAAGTTACAAGCTTTAGGTACCAGATCATGCAGACAACAGTATTAGGCATGCCTAAATCAAAAAATCAAAAGTGAATTAAATAATTCCTTCTAGTAAATAAAACATTTAAGAAATAAAAACATAAACTACACCTCAGTCCCCATAACACAGGATTAAAAAGAAAAATAGAACCTAAAAATTACTTAAGTGTATAGCAACTATGGGTACACAAGAAATGTATTGAATCGATTCTTTTTAATGAATCGATCCGATCGCAACTTCAAATATGAAATTCAAAGGTATCAAATAGGAAATGATATTCTGAATCATAATTCATTAGATACTTTTTATGAACGTCAACTAAATATCGTAAGTAAATTGCTCCCGATTGTTCAATCATTTGATAATCAGAGTCATTCTTTGATAAATGATCACTATGAGTCAGACTCAATAGAATTTGATCAATCCTTTTTTTCTGTCGTTAAGGTAGAGAACTGAACCAAGAATTTTCTTTCTTTATTATCAATCGAATGGCCTATGGTTTGATACATATTAAATTGTTCATGGTTTTTTCTAGACAGACGAATTGGTTCGATACTCAATATTCCTTTTTTCATCAATTCCGTATTTTTATTCAATTCTATAAGAGTGAAATCCTTCTGATTCTTCATTTTCGTAATATCTAGACTTAGTTCTCCTCTTTAAATAGAGGCTATAGCAATTTCTTTTAGATTTTTCAGTCTAAGCAAGAGACAATATAATCCCACTGATCATAGTTTAACATTTTAAAAATCTGGATAAACTAACCTTGGCACCAGATATGGTTTGACTTTGCTCAATGACTTCAGCAGTCAAAATATTGCTTTGGTGAGGAGCTTTAACTTGAAGGTCAGCACATATTTCATTGTCATGAGCAAGGGCTGCCTGCATTGTGCTTTTGACCAGTGTATGTCCAACATTTTTTTCCTTCTTCCTCATTACCAGAAGAAAATGTATTTCCAAGGTCATCCACAGACTTCTCATCAAGTAAATTAGAATTCTTCATCAACTCAACACTTTCTAATTCTGATCTTGCCTTGCCTATATGCGAGCCCAGATTTTTTGTTTCATTTTCTGAAGAATTGATCAGTTCTCTTGATTCTCCAGAACTTTCTGTTCCAATGGCTGTCCTTGTAACAGACCTTATTGGAAATGTCTCTACAACCACGTCAGCCGTGACAGGGCTTAAATTAGTTATAGGCACTGCCAAATTTTGTGTAACATCCTCTGGGGTTGCCAAAGACTCAATGGCTTGAAAGTCAGGCCTACTTGCTTCAACAGAGTCCTTGTTTGTTTGATCTACCTGGCTACCATGGATGAGATTTCCATTGCTACATGTTTCAACCAATTCCTGGTTTGTCTCGTCTACTTGGCTATCACTAATTACACTTCCATTTCCATACGCTTCATTGAATTCCTTGTTTCTTACACTCACCTGGCTACCATTGAGTACATTCCCATTATCAGATAACTGAACCTCAACTCTAATATGCTCCCCAGAAAGCATTTTCTCACTCGTACCCTGAAGATTGCTAGGCTCATGATGATTTTCATTTGGAGATGCAGCCAAGTAAGTATTAGGATCTACAGCAATCGAACCTAACAGATCTCGTTCCAAAACCTGGTCAGAGGGATGCTCCTCTAAAGTGAACTTAGCAGGCCCCAACACTCTATTCTCTTGTATTATATCTCGTACAATCTCCCGTACGGTGTAGAAAGAACCACCAACTTCCTTGTGGGTAAGATTAAGTGATGGGAAGCTTCCATTGTTAGACTGTTGGTACCTGAAGCAAAGTTTTCAGTTAGGTGAAACTAAAGAGAGCACTACATTCAATGACCCTGGCCAAAAGGGCTTTGATTGAGAGTAAAGTAAATGACAAGAATAATTTGGGAATCTTATAAGAA